TGTTGCACCTCGTAAATATGGATTAAAGCAAGTACCATTAAAATTATATTAAAATCGATGAAATCAGCGAAAAATGCAGTAAAAGGTAAAACATGACTTATTAGTCGAAATCGAAAAAAAGAAAAGAAAAAAACTTATAAAAATGGGTCACTTTGTTTTGTCTTAACATAAAATGAATTTCTATACTTAACGGCATAGTTCTACAATGAAAAGAAAAAGATACATTTTATTAAAACCCGCCCCCTAAATATCACCTTAATACACTTGAAGCATGGTATAGCAAGTATAGAATCAAAATAAATGAGAATAAATCAGCGAATATAACTTTTACTCTTAGGAAAGAAACTTGCTCACCGGTTCTCATTAAACAGAAACCAAATACCGCATCTAGAGTGCGTTTCATGTCATGGACAGATGTCTCACTAAGAAGAAACACAGTTACAATTAAGGAAATATTGATTTATTGGGCACAAAACGAAATATCACTTGATTTTTTTAATGTGCATGACATTAATGAAAAAAGTAATTGTGGAGAACAAGTTTTTGTTGTAGAAAAATATATATTTTCAATGATGTAGTTATACGAGAGGGTCCAAAAAAATTTGCAATTTAAAAAAATTCAGAGTTAACAATTAATATAATTTACGTCAAAAAGTAAAACAATGGGCCATCTCGGCATTTGCTCAATATATCAGGGAAACTGGATAAAAACCTGATCGAGATGGAGATCATTAAACCGGAAGCTAAAGTACATTATTTGTTACAAGCATATTGTCTTTTTTTAAATATACAATACAAATGTATAATATTTTAGTAAAATATCACTATTTTACTAAAATAAACATTATTTTATTTTTTGATGATCATTATAATGTCTAATTGTATAGAAACTGTTATGCAGCAGAAAATATTTTACTTTTAACTTTAATTTGTGCACCGACTTCAATTGTTTAATGTCATCTGGCAATGGATTGCAAAGTAAAGTACATGTATTGAAAGTGGATATCTGATAGTGAGCTGTTGATACTAACACTTGATGAACGTGATTTGTAATAATAAATACCAGTATTGCATGAAAATATGTTCCCACAGTTAAGTCAGTTTTGACAAATATTACAGATTCGTGAATAAAAAGGCTAGGCAACGGTAAGATTCTAAACTCAGTGAAGAGAGGCTTGCAGGGATCACGCGGATGGCATTTTTCATTATTGGAACAATTTTCTTTTGCTATCTAAATGTCTGGGTATTACAAGATGAGCTTCCCCAGAATAGTATGCCATATCTCAGGCGGGAATGCACATTTGCAAAATACACGCAACGAGCTGCATGAAGGCTGACAGAATTTGAAAGAATTCTGAATACGTAACATAATGAACTTAATTTAGTGTTTAATTCTGTTATACGTACATTCCATTTGAGGTTTGACTGAATTGAGAGACCTAGAAATTAATCTCAATATCATCTAATTGAATATTGTTCATTTTCAATGAAGCAGACAATTGCTGATTCGAAATGCAAAAATGCATTGAAACTCTTTTTCCTTAGTTAACTATTAATTTGGTATTACAAAACCAACTTGAAACTTCTGAAGTCGAACTATTTATTGTTTCTTTTCAACAAAGAACATACGTATCATCAGCACACAGAACCGTTCTTGTTTTTAATAGACGAGAGCATATCGGTTACGTATAACAGAAAGAGAAAAGGACCTAAGATTGAACTTTGCGGGCCCCTATATTCAATTGGTAAAGAATTGTAAAGATAAGTAAATAATATCCTTTCGCACCAGTACGGTAATTCTACTCTTTGTAATCGGTTTAAGGTACGAGATTATCCAATTTAGGGCGATACCCCAAATCCCATAAGAAGGTAATTTTGATAGCAAGATGTTATGGTCAATAACGTCAAAAATATCTAAAAAATATTCCAATGGATGCTTCATTTTGGTCCATTGATGAAGCAACATCTTTAAGAAAAGAAAAAAAAAGGCAGATTCGTAGATTTGATTTTCAAAACCGCGTTGTGGGTCTGAAAACTCTTCGTTTTTCCTGAGAAAACTTTCCATTCGTGTATAGAAAAGCCTCTCAAATATTTTTTGAGAAAACTAACAAAGAGAAGTTGGCCAGTAAATTTAAATTTTTTGTTCCCTTTTTTCAAAAAGTATGTTAATTTTTCCTGTTTTAAAATATGTGAAAAGATTCCTGTGCATAAAAAAGCATTGAAAATGTGAGTTAACGGGTATATAAAGTAAGTACACACGTTTTCAATAAACAATCCAGAAATTCATCTAAACCAGATAAATATTTATTTTTTAGTTTACTGACGATCCTCAGGATTTCGTTAGAAGAAGTTTCGAAAATAAACATCGAGTCGAAATTTTTTGGGGAAGGAATGATGTTGAAGTTTGTGGACAGTCCCAGAGAGTATATATCCCATCGTGAGTCCCATCGTCCCCCGGTCAGTCCCATCGTGAGTTCAGCCGCAATTCTAGAAAAGTGTTGGTTGAAGAGATTTGCCACTTTTTTTCGGATTACTTGCTTCTCTTTCATTGTTCTTTAAAACAACATTTCCTACTAATTACCGAGATGATTTAGTCGCATTTTTTACGATAATTCACATTGCTTTAGTTTTGTTACTAGAGTTCAAAATATCCTGATTTTGTTTCATTATTTTTGCCTGAGCTATTAATTTTCTTACAATTCTTTTGTATTCTCGGAAGTAGACATTGAAACCAGGTGATACGTTATGATGTTTAGAAATACAATAACGTGTACGTTTGTTTTTACACTATGTTCTAATTCCTCGTGTGAACCAAGTATTATTTTTCCATGATATGTTTAATTTTCTCTTTCTGGGAGGAAAAGCAAGCGTTAAAGTGAATGAAAGCTTCGAGAAAAGTAGATTATAGTTTTCATTTGAGTCAACTTCGTTATAAACTGTGCTCCACGATTCCTTCAGCCATAAATAATTTTATGTTAACTTTAGCGAATGCTCTGCACACGCCTGTATTATTTACTGTATCAGTGATCATGTTCTTAGTAATAATAAGAATTTGTGCATCACGGTCACTGCAATCTAGATTAGTAGTTTTTATTTCATATCTAGTTGTGGTTTAGTTAATTACAATTTGATCTATTGTTTTTTGTAATTTAAATGTATTCCGTGTATGTGCATTCACTGTAATATCTAAATTAAAAGAATGTAGTAAATTGAGAAACTTTTCGTGGGATTCACACAGAAAATCAATATTGAAATCTCACCTATAACAATGGATTTACCTAATTTTGGTTCAGTTATCTCTAGATTTTCTAAGAACATGAAATTATCTATAGCTCGCTTTGTTGGAGGTCTGTAGATGCAAAGTAAGATAATTTTGGGCAGAGTAAGATGTACGACTGTTATTTCAAACCCTTTTTCAACTACATATAAATTGAATTTTGAAAAGATAGAATCAATATAATTTCTAACGTAAATACATGAACCCCCATAAGCATCTCTAGAAATTTATTGGAATTATACGATTTTCGGTGTCGAATTGAGTCTTCTGAAAATTATTGGAGTTGGCACATATACCTATTCAAAACTATAAGCTATAATGTTGGCAGTTAGATCCCCATGAAGCCAAAGAATATATATCAAGTATGAAGTAGAGTATGAAACCAAACCCCAATCGTAAATCATAACCACATTTTGATAAATAAAATGTCAAACTCTTAAATCATTATTGATTTATTTTGTCCAATAAAAAGTATTTTAAAACACTGTTTTGTATTTCTATGTAAAATATTGGCAAGGATGTATTTTGTAATTTTCGTGGAAGATTTTTTTATAAGACCCTTTTCAAGACATTTTGTTCATCTCTACCCATACGTACATACATTTTGTATTGTTTTTGATGACAGATAACGCGAGAAATATTTTTATTATTTTTTGTTTACTCAAAATATTTCGGTATATATATTCAGGATTCCAAAAAGTCCACAATAAAAATTTAAAAAAATACTAAAATTTAAAATTGTTCATGATTCTGAGGCAGACAGCTACCTTAAACAGTTGTAACACTTCTGCTGTAAAATACTGCGAAAAAAGAAACATTCTCATTCTGGTTTCAAACGAAAACTCTATTGCAAAATTAAGTTACTTTAATTGACTGCATTTATTAATTAATTTTTGTTTGCAGAAAACAGTACCACACACCAATCCTAGTGTCTTTCATCACGTAACATTTCAACAACTTTCTTTCATACGATATTGACGATGTGTTTTGGTCAGTAGACCACAACCCTCTAATATTCTTTTTCCGCTCAGATATAGTCTATTAGTTTCTGATTACTAAGTTCACAGGCCAAGGGCAAGTGCCAATCTAGTGCTTCGTTAAGTGAAATTAATAGTAACTATCTATGCGAATTGCTTGCTCCTGTGAAATGGTTTTTCAAGTTTCTTCGCCTTTCACGTAAGGAATCTACTTCGGAGCTTTCGAAGCATCTCATGCGAGATGCGAAAAGTCGTACACGGTAAAACTTACAATAGAACACGACTATCCTGTTTCTGATTTCATTTTTTCCAGGGGTTACGATCAACATTTTTTGGTCGCAGAGGAGGTAGTTCTCTGAAATGGAATTTTCGGGAGGTTTCGCTATAATTTAAGTTTATTGTTTTTACTTTCTCGTATTACGTAGTGTTAAAACATTATAATGCAGGGAAAAGGTCGACTTTCCCGGAAACACACATTACACGGGATCTTTATACAGAAAAAGTGGATTTTGCGTGTTCGTGTATAGTTAAAAAAAGAAAGCTTTCGCGCAATTTTGCGGAAATATAGGCAATTTTTAACAATTATTTTCTCAAACACTTGTGAAATGCATAATGACAAACGAATCGTCCATTGTTGCTTTAAAGCAACCAGCAATTGTGGCAACAACGCGCTTTAACGAAAGCCGCCGCCTGGGGATCGTATTAACGTTCAATTTCTTTACTTTCTTGCATACTGCTTACGCAGTACGTTTTAAGACTATATATATATATATCACGCTTCGTTTATTTAGGAGGTAAAGTGATATTTGAAGTGCAAGGCAGAAATTGTGATGTATTACATAACATAATATTGCGAAAACGTATGTGCTGTTGGAGCGCTTCAAGTTAATTTGGTAACTTCACTCCGATGCACCACTTACAATAAATAAACATGTGTGGAGGGCAGGAGGGTACACAGGATAACCATCTTTTGGGACTTTTCATATGTCTTTAGTCGAAATTTATTGTTTAATAGTATTTTTAGTTATAGGGCACAAAAATGAAGGGAAAAAAAAAAAAAAAGAATACAGAACATTGGGCAAAGTTCGCAAAAATGAGGTAATAACATTGTTCAAAATGTATACAAACCCTACTCTAATAAGAGTTTTGGAGAGGGTAACTGCATCAAATATAAAGAACCAAAAATTTGATTAATTCAAATCCAATTTTATATACAATTCTCAAAATTACAAAGATATCACAGCTTTACAAATTATATTCTATAACTACAGTTAAAATATTTGACCAAGTCATTTAGCTCCACTCAGATCTATTCACAAAGAAGTTCTTTTAAATACTGACTTATCAATATTTATTTCCAAGTTCAATTGATCGTTTTGCTGCTGCTTCTATAGCGTCCATCAAAGCACTTCTGCAAAGAAACAAAGCGAATACAACAAATACAGAAAAAGGTTTCAAGACATTGAAATATGACCTGAACATCCATTGCTTTTGAATATAATCATGAATCTACAAAATTTAAACGACTTTATAATAGTAATAATTAACAGTGAATTAATTTTAATTGTACGAGTTATCAATTTTTTATTACTAAAATAATTAAGTACAAAATACTATAACGTCTGCTTAAAATATGTTCAACATTCTATAAATACATTGTTCAGGTACTTATAAAATTTTATACATATCCATTTCTTAGCTTTAAAAGAAACCTTTTTATACAACTTCTTTCAAAATCTCAGACACAGAATCACATAAGATTTTACATTTAACCTTTCCAGTTCTGTGTTTGATTTATCATGAAAATGCCCCTCTTCAATCTCTTCACCAATAAAGTTCAATAAAACTCATGAAATATTTTCAGGATTCATTAACCCATAGATCTTAAAATGGGTACAAATCATGCATTGTATCTATTCATAAAATGCAACAGAAACACAAAAGACTGACTATATCTGTGAAAAGCTACTGAATTAATAAACTCTAGAAAATGTTGCAGATCTAATACTCCAAAATCTTTAGAACAATCCAGACACAACTCCTAAGCAAGAAGTTTAGCATTATCAATATTTTTGTTCTTGAGAATTCAGAATATTCCAACAATTGTGAATCGTATGTTCAGGGTAAAGTGAACAATAATTTAATTCGCCTCTGAATACAACAAATTTCGAACTACTGTAACAATGACCAAAAACTAAACAAATGGGTATTTGATAAACAAAGCATAGGCAACGAACTATAACATATTCCTCAGTCACATCAAAACCCTTTTCAGTCATACATGAAGGTGGCAGGTGGCATTGGTTTTGAATCACAGAGCTATGGTGGAATGTGAGACAAGGGAAAGGAGAGAACCTCAAGAAATCTTGCCCCAAACCCCCTTTGAATAACACAAATTTCACAAGATTTGACAGTGACAATCATAATACAAAGTGTGCAGTGTGACCGTAACACCATGGGTCACCTTAATGAGTAACAATTTTTCTATGAAAATAGAAAAAATTACCTGCCAATCATGGACCACCTTTTATCTTAATTAACAGGTAAGTCATTCAACTAAATCAAGAAAACCTGCAGGTGTGTTTGTGAATAAATTATTATGCACTAACCCGTTCTCATTTTATGAAGCGATTTTTTAGTTTCATTTTACTTCACAAAATTTTTATAACTTGCACATCAAAGCCGTTTCAGCAAGAAAACTTCTATTGGATAAATAGTCTTTAACATCATTCTATTTTTAGTATATACCAGACATATTTTCCCCTGTATGCCAAAACCAAATTTGCATTTTTGAGAAAAAGGCAATTAAAACATTGAAGTGTATGTAAAATTACAAATTTCAAAAATTGGTGAATATTTGTGTTTTAGTGCCATATTACTTACTACTAATATAACACAAACACAAATATTCATACACTTCTTACTTTTCCTCCCAATACTACAGCACAGGTAGGAAAATCATTGAAATAACCTCTACAATATGATTTTTAATACTAGTCATAAAAACTGTTTTTGAAGTTCTTTTCAGGTGCAATTTCACACACTCAACAGGATTAAGGTCTATTAGTGGTGTTTCAAAAGGTGGTTAAGATTGGTGTAGGTAGAGAGGACCTGCAAACAGATTTGAATACATGATGAATGTAACATGCATAAATGTTAGATTTGAAATATTTGAGCTGAAACTAGGTAAATACATGAGAAGGAAGTTCTAAATGTGTTCCAAAGATAATTTATGTTTTATTTATTTTTGGTGCACTGTGCATGAAGCTCCTATGTTATTTGCAACATTTTCTGGAAAATGGCTGAAAATTTTTCTTGAAATTCAGTGCTTGTGTAGAAGAAAGTGGATTTATAAGTTTGGTCTAGTTCTAATTTTCATAAATATCTCCGACGTTAAGAACGATGCTCCAGACGTTTTATCACTTGCTATTATTAACTGGTTTGATACTTTTAACACTGAATTTTAATAAAATCATGGAATTAATACATTACATATAATTGTCAAAGGATTGGTTGTCTCAGTAGCTTAGTGGTTAAACCAGAAGGCCCTGGTTCAAGTCCTGGTCAGGGCAATCAATTCTTTGAACAAATTTAATTAATATGATTAATGCTTATCAGCCTTTATTTCTTCATTGCAGGAGTTGCATTTGATCAACTGAATGCATTCGATTTTTCCTGACAAAGAAACATACCATTGTGCATGACCTTCGAGCAGAAACACTCTTGAAATAACCACATTTCTCTACTAAAGTCGGAATACAAAACCAGGCTGAACATACTGAATATATTAGCATCTAGAAAGTGGGGAGCAGAGTGGAAACGTGTAATTAATGCTTATTGTGCTATTATTCAAGCCAAAGTAGATTATGGAGCTGTAATGTACAGTTCAGCTAATAAATCTACACTACAGATGCTAGACCCTTTTATAAATTCAGCATGTCGTATAAGTTTAGGAGCTTTTAAATCAAGCCCTATCAACAGCCTTATAGTAGAAGCAGGACTACTCCCCCTCAATTTACAGCGGAAACAACTATGACTAAAAATTGGCTACCCAACTTTAAATTCCTCAACTAATCCGTCCTTCAAATACATCTTCAGCCCTTTTAAAACAGATTACCATTCAATCCATGTGAAATATCCAAAATCACTTAGAGAAAGAATCCCAATTTATCAAGATGAATTTAATATTCAAGCTCCTCACATTCTTTGGAGAAGGATCCTCCTTGGCAATCCTTTAAACCTGAAGTTAATACAATGACTACACAGATTGCACAATTCTTAATCTCTCCAAAAATAGTTTCATCACATCTGAATTCTCTTTATGAAGACTATCATGATTTAGAAAAAGGGTATGCAGAAGGATCAAAATATGAAAACAAAGTTGGTTGTGCAATTGTTTCTACAACCCCGTTCAATACCTTTAAATTCAGGTTACTTTTCTAGCTTCTCTTGTGAAGCCTGGGCCATCCTGAAAGCCATTGAATTAGTCTCCCAAAATGGAGAAAACTGTAAAATAGTTATTCACTCAGACTCTATGACTACCTTGAACGGAATAGTCAACAGGTTTTCTAAAAACCCCATAGTTCAAAGAATCCAAGAACAGTTATTTACACAAGAAAACAACAGAACCTTCATCTCTATTGTTTGGATTCTAGCACATAAAGGTATAGAAGGGGATGAAAAGGCAGATAAAGTGGCTAAAGAAGCAACTTCATTACCAACAATGGACAAAAGTGTGAAGGGAGTTCTCTCCGATATCAAACTACATATTAAAAATATGGTTAAGAAACGGTGGAATGAAAAATGGCTGACTACCTCCTCCAAACTTCACCTCATAAGGAAATCCGTTTTTGTACCCGCCCTCCCGAAACTCCAACTCGCTACATTCCAACAAGTCCAAATTACCAGACTACATACATATTGGCCATTTTAATCACTCACACATTTTCCCAAAAACAAAAGCTGACCCATCACCCTGTCCTAAATGTGGATCCCTAGTATCTACATCCCATATTATTCTGGAGTGCCCTGAACTAGCCTTTATCAGACAGTCCTTAAATTTAAAAGACTCTCTACATAATTCCTTCTCCTCCCCAGAAGAATGTATAAAAGTCTTACAACTTTTAAAAACATAAAAAATTGATACCTTAATATAAAGACCCTCCTTTACCTCTATCTCATATGCAATAATCCTTCAAACATGTTGTTAATATCAAAAACTTGTACAAGTACACAGATTTGAGAGAGTATGAAAATGCAATGTTCAACACGTGTCCATTCACAAAAAATTTCAGTGTAATACGTTAATTATGTAGTGTAAAATGGTTTTAAGGTAAGGTGGATTTGGCAGCAGGATTTCTTTGGCCTACAACACCGTAGTATGAGTACAGATTTTTTAAAAATCTCCATCACATCCACATTCCCACTAGTTAAATCTGTAATTTTACATGGATCTTGAAGTTTCCATTACCTTTTTCACACAAAGGTGGGTTTGGCATACGAGACAATTTGCTTGAATCCAAGGCACACCTTTATTATAATTGGATTTAAAGAAATGCTGTATGTTCACATGTAATGTTGGGGGAGATATCAACAATTCACCTTAATATTTTCTTTTTCTTTTCTCTACTTACCTCACTCCTGATTTTTCCATTGCATGAACTCCAGTTATAGTAGTGCCACCTGGTGAACAGACCTCATCTTTCAGTAAACCTGGATGTTTACCAGTTTCCAAAACCATCATAGATGCTCCTTTCACAGTCTGTGCAGCAAACTTTGTAGCCATTGCTCGAGGAACTCCCATTTTCACTGCTCCATCTGCCAAAGCTTCAATCATTATGTAGATCTAAACATTAGAATGGAGGTAACATATTAGGTAACAAATGTTAGAAAAAAATCCATTGCCTTAAAGAAAAGCCTACAATTAATTGAAGAAATTGGAATGTAACATTTGGTGGATATATTACAAATAATTCCTTTTCAAACTATGAAATACTTCATTCAGAAACAAAGTATGCAGTTTCACATTTATGGTGCAGTAAAGAATATTCACTGATTTTCCTTATAATTATATATGGTACTTTTTAAAAGTGAACACTTACAAAAGCAGGCCCACACCCACACAGAGCACCTGCACTATCCATAAGATTTTCAGGTACTTCTTCACAAATTCCTCCACAGCTAAAAATTTTCTTCACCAAATTTAAATCTTCAGTTGTGGCAGTGGGACCACGACAATAAACTACATCACAAAAACAAAGAATTTATTCACTCTATAAAAAGTATGTCTAATGTGAAGTATTCAAGTAAAACATTCAATAAAACAACAGAACTCTTGTTGCTCTTCTGCAAGTGAATAAGGGCTTCAAATTTCAATTGAATGTTCGACTGAAGTTCATGAATTACAAGGTTACAGGTATTGTGAAGAAAAAGGCATGCGAAGAATTAACTAGAAATTTCATCCACAAAATTGGCAAGATAAAGCTTGAGACTACAGATGCAGATCTGAGGGTGGAGTGGTGGTTGGGACACACACAAAAAGTCGCCATCCCTTCTCCCCAAAACACTTTTTTTGTAATTTTATTTTATTTATTCAAAATAATTACTTTATATGGACCTTATCATATCCAAAGCAGTATTCTTATTTCAAATACACTCAAATTTTTTGACTTCATTTTTTGACTCAACAATTAACAAATTACTATTTCAAAAATATTTATAGAGTATGAACTGAAACCACCCCAAATACTTTCTAGATTCACCACTGCTACTCTATTACATACAAATAATGTGATTTAACGAGTGAAAACTTAGGAGTTAAAAATAATATTTAAAAATTTCATTTTATGAAAAACCTAAGCATAATATTAGAAAAACGGAAATTTTTCCTTACTTGATGCTCCAGCACCAACAGCCACTGGTGTATTAGGCATCACACGTACTACACGACTTTTTGGGACCACTGCATTAACTTTCTATAAGAATAAAAAAGATGATAACTATTACAGTTAAGGCATTGTGAAAACTAACAACAGCAGAAAACAATATGATGAACTGATGTTTCATGGGTTCCTACTCATCACCAAAAGTTGCTACTTTTTCAATAGCACTGTTTATAATGTGTTATGTTGCAATTGTATATTACATTATATTATGTTCTCCAAGTACATGCAAAGAATATTGCCATATGTCATTTCACTGTGAACCAACTGAATGCCAAAAAACCCTTCTTTGATAATATTATGATGTTCTCTCCAGTTATTAGGTTTAGAGTAAAGCAACATGAACTCAAATGTATTAACATGAACTTTTTTTTTAATGCGAATACTTATTACACAAAAAATCAAGCTTACATTATTATATGCACACATATTCATTATCAATCCTGAATTCATCACTTACGCTATGAACACCATCCACTTTAACACCAGCAAGTAAGGACACAAAAACCTTGCTGTGTACTTCATTGGGAGGAAGAGTTCTTATTGCATCATTTAATGCTTCATCTAGTTTATTGGGTTTCATAGCAAGGATTATGACATCAGAATTTTTAATCACATCACCTGTGAATTGAAGTATAAACTCTTCAACTGAAGGGCACTATCATATGAATCACAAAAATATAAATAACCATACCATTTTCAAAGCTTGTTTTTGACCCTAATTGTCTCCAACGGCCCAAATTATTATCTGTTGGTGCTGATACAATGATCTGTGTAGAAGATACAGCACCTGTTGAATGCAGGAGAAAAGATGGTCCATTAACCCTTAGAAGTTAAAAGCACTTACACGAAGGGGGATGTCCTTAGCAATTATGCCTCAAAAGATTTTTCCATACAATGAAGGCAAAATATAAATATTTGTGAAATACTTATACTGGGGAATGGAAGAAAAGAAATTGTCATAAGGGCTGTGAAATTTGCGAGAATAACTAGTTTGTTTTTCTTATTATCTTCTGATAAATTCAGTGCCTTTAACTGACCTCCAAATCGATGCACTGATTAGTAAGAAGAGTGACAGATTCTGAATTCTGACGCCTCAAAATTTCGTCAAAAGTTCTCAGAATCTTTCCACGTAAAAACAGTGCGCAGGGTCAAATACTTTATCACCAAAATAATATAACAAAGTTAAATGCCATCTACAAAATAAAAAAGCATTTCCTAGTGCGGGGTCAAACACGACCCTCGAACCTGGCGTTAATTATTATTTTCATTTCAGACTGTCACGAAAATTGCGTACATGCACTGTGTTGCCCATGGTTACCCTGGGTTGGCATGGTAAGGCTAGTGTAGTTAGGAAAGATTAGGCTGGACACGTGTGGTGAGGATCACAGTGGTCCAGAATTTGACGTCGAGTCGCCAGCGATCCCTCAGTCGAGTCCGCGGGATAATATAAGGCATTAACATAGTAAAACATAATTTATCATATATTCGTTATAATAAAAAATGCTGAACTTACCTGTCTTCACTAAACCCTCTCCAATTGCCCAAGCCATATTTCCAGCGCCAATAAAACCAATATTGCATGCAATTGCCTTTTCGTTTCCATCTGCCATTTCAAAATCAACAAGAAGATACAGATGATGGTGTACGTGCCAAACTGTTTGCAGTTTAGTACGTTCAAACCACGAACAAGTTCTTAACCCGCTTGACGTTTATTAAAACGTCAAATACCTCTCAATTCGCTGCTGTCTCTCACGACTCTAGCCCACTAGTAGCGCTCAAGGAAACTAGGAGCTCACTGAGAAATCCTGATATTTTGTATAATTTTTAATCCTCTTTAATCTCGAGAATATCTGATAAGAGACAGATAAGACCCTAATCCTAACAGTACCCTAATCCTCCTTCGTTTGATAATTGCAGCGTGAGAATTAACCATCATTTATAAATTCAAACTCTGATCGACTCGACTCATTGCATTGTTACTTGAAAAAATTAGGAAGTATGAAAATTCAAAATAAAAAGTTATGGAAATAAGCATTTTTTTTATTCATGTAACAATATGGTCAACAATGAGTAACCTTATAATTTTCGTGAGGATAATATTCCAAAGAGTTCCTGGTTCGAAATCAATGTTTCGACGAACTTCTGTATTAGTGAATAAGTAAAATTAAGGATTGGTTATTACGATTATATTAAATAATGTTATAATTACTCTTTCACGTACTTCTTATTTTAATTCTTGTGAATGTTCTATGATTTGACATGACGTAGCAAAGCGAAGCAACTACCATGAAAGGTAAAGCTCTCCACCGCGACGTTCAATTGTTTTCGCTACAGAACCTCGTGCTAGTGCTGGAACGGTAAAAGAAAGAAATCGCTATAAAAATGTTCGGCGGAGGTGCAGCACCCATTCTGGTTTTAAGTAAGTAGCTTTATGTACAATAATTATTTTTTAAATGTATTTTTTTCATAAAGAATAATTTCAAAACACGCGTGTCTTTCTTAGGCCAAAATACAAAGAGAGATGCCGGACGAAAAGTTCAGCTGGAGAATATAGGAGCAGGGAAGGTAAGTTAATCTTCACGTGTAAATCATGGTCATTTTATAAACAATTAATTGAATGTATTTAAAAATGTACCTAATATGATTTTTTGGAATTTGTGAAGAACATGTGCTTCACCCACTTCAGGATAACCTATTCAGAGACATTCTCAGATTCGTCACTCCGGCTCAATTTTGCCCTTGTCTTGTTTTAATAGGCAATTGCTGATGTGATTCGAACGTGCCTTGGGCCGCAGGCCATGTTAAAAATGTTGATGGATCCAATGGGTGGTATAGTAATGACGAATGACGGAAACGCTATACTACGTGAAATTACTGTACAACATCCAGCAGGAAAGTCAATGATAGAAATAGCTCGAACTCAGGATGAGGAGGTTTGCCAATTTTTCTCTTTCTCTCCCTAAATTTGCACCACTTCAAAGAACTTAGCACAGAAATTAACTAATGGATTATGATTTCTGGTTTGCTTACGTTTCTTTTCATGAAGGTGGGTGATGGTACTACTTCAGTAATTGTCTTAGCCGGTGAAATGTTAGCTGTCGCTGAACCTTTTCTGGAGCAGCAAATGCATCCCACAATTATAATAAGGGCATACCGTCAGGCGTTAGAAGATGCTGTCACATTGTTGCAAGAAAACTTCAGGTAAGTTCACTTCAAGAATCTGATGTGTGGGGTGATTTCTGTCATGACCAAAATAATTTGTTATTGTTGTTGTATTACAGTCAACCATTGGATATAAATAATCGTGAAAAGGTGTTAGATGTTGTAAAGTCCTGTGTTGGAACTAAATTTTTAAATAAATGGGCTGAACTGGCTTGTAATATTGCCCTTGATGCTGTCAACATTGTAACTTTGGAAGAAAATGGTAGAAGGGAAATTGATATCAAACGTTATGCAAAAGTAGAGAAGGTAAAGAGATAATTTTTTAATTTATTTAAATGCTTCTATTTTTAGAAATTTCCTGTGATAATTGATCATTTTTTCTCCAGATACCAGGTGGCACCATTGAAGATTCTTGTGTCCTTCAAGGGGTAATGATAAACAAAGATGTCACTCACCCAAAGATGAGGCGTCACATAAAAAATCCCCGTATCATCCTCTTAGATTGTGGTTTGGAATACAAGAAAGGTGAAAGCCAGGTGCGTAGAAACATTCAATTATGATATTGATAAGAAAGCTATAATGATAGCCATTAGGATTGAGTCACAAGTTATAGAACATTTTTTTTTACTCGTTTTAGATACATTTTTTTTAAATGCTCAATTATTTATACTATTGCTGTGTTTTTAGTGGACTGCAATAATGTTCTGGTTTTATTATTTACAAAATTTTTAACTCTTGAAAATTAATCGCTATTGACATGGAATTCATGAATTTTTCTTCATTTGTAGTGGTTTTTACAATGACCATTACACATCTTAGAATTATTATTATTATGTTTTAGACTAATGTTGAAATCATGAATGAAGGAGACTTCACTCGTATTTTGGAAATGGAGGAAGAGTACATTCAGAAAGTTTGTGCTGACATTATTGCTCTGAAACCTGATGTAGTTTTCACAGAAAAGGGCATATCTGACCTTGCTCAGCATTATTTGTTGAAGGTAAATTCGGGTAAATTATGAACGTAAATTATTATCACTTATTGAAAAACAATGGAATTCTATCTTAAACATTTTTCAGGCTAACATTTCTGCTCTTCGTCGATTGCGGAAGACTGATAACAATCGTATAGCAAGAGCATGTGGTGCTACTGTTGTGAATCGGACAGATGAGTTAAAGGAGGATGATGTTGGCACTAAGGCTGGTCTATTGGAAATAAAGAAGGTACTTATTTATTTTCAAAAAATTAACATGGTGTTCTACTTTGAGTCTGTCAATTTTTTGGTTACTTTATGTTAAACAATTATTTTCCAGATTGGAGATGAATATTTTTGCTTCATAACAGAGTGTACAGATCCTAAGGCCTGCACCATTCTTTTGCGTGGTGCTAGTAAAGATGTATTGAATGAAACCGAGCGTAATCTGCAAGATGCTTTGCACGTTGCTAGGAACATCCTGTTGGAGCCCAGGTTACTCCCAGGAGGTGGTGCAGTTGAAATGGCTGTTTCACAGGTATGCACCTGATATTCATTGAAATTGAGAGTTATGTTATTTGTTAATTAATTCAATTATCTATCATCAGGCATTGACAGAGAAAGGCAAAACGGTGCAAGGAGTGGCACAATGGCCTTACCGTGCTGTAGCTCAAGCTTTAGAAGTAATTCCTCGCACACTTGCTCAGAATTGTGGAGCTAACACTATTAGAACCCTCACTGCTCTTCGTGCGAAACATGCTACAGGTAGTTATGTGCATAGCTCTAATGAAGAACAAGTTAATGTTGCATAGATTAATTTGATGTATATATCTAGTAAGATTATGACCAACGTAATACAATATAAATGGTTCATATTTTCAAAAGTGAGAGGGTAATTTTCAGAAAATAAAAAAGAATTAACTTCATTGTCATCCATATTTAAAGTCTTGTGATGTACTATAGGAAACCATTCTTGGGGAATAAATGGAGAAACTGGTGAATTGGCTGACATGACTGAATTAGGTGTTTGGGAACCCCTCTCTGTCAAGTTGCAGACGTATAAAACAGCAGTAGAGGTGAGTGAAGAAGATATTTAAGTTTTGTGATCTTTAAGTATTAATATCAATTTAATTAAATGCATTTTTTTTCCTAGACTGCTATTCTCCTGTTGCGTATTGATGACATTGTATCTGGGTCAAAGAAGAAGGATAAAGCAGAACAGCAAAATATGAATGCTGCGCCAACTGAAGAGTCTGTGAAAGAATAAGAAATTGGTGTAATTGTTACCATGTATTCTGTAAGATGAGGACTTACACTTAACATACTTTAGATTGACTTGAATTAATACTGTAACCTGTGTTGGATCTGCTTCTAAATTAATTTAATTGCACCTATTCCATTTGTTTTAATCATTTGTTCACTTTGTGAAGCTTGCTGTGAATGATAGGTAAAAATAATTATTAAATTGCTACACCATCATTCCAGAATGAATTCCTGCTACATTACCACAAATGAGAAAGGCATTTATATCATGTTTCTTTTCATAATAAAAGCATATTGACCTCATATTATTAGTTTTATTTTACCCAATTCTTTTTTAACCATACCACTGAAGAAAAGTTCTTAATAAGAGAATTTTTAAATTAGTTATCACTATTGTAATTCTTTATAAAAGTTGTTCAGACCATTTTTTAAATTTAGGACAACCACAATAAATACTTCCAAATACATTCCTTTCGAAAACCTTGACAAAATAACAAATAATTTTGTGGCAAAGAAGTAAAACTGATGTGAGATTCTCGATACTCAAAGTAGAATAAACCACAAATGAAGCATTCTGTCCATGAATTACAGCACAACCCCAAACGCAAAAATCATGACCTGTTTTACCAAGAGACAAAAATTTCTAACATTGCAGTTTTTTCAACATCACAATGTTAGAAGAAAACAAAAATGCAAAAGGCTAGGAACCAAACCCATTGGAAATTGTTTAAAATATTGAAAATAAAGCCTTAAGAGCTGAGTAGATTAAAAGAATAGTACAATGTGATCTCGTAATATATATCACTACAGAGTGATATGGGAAGTAAGATTATTTTTTTTAACATATTCAAAATTATAAAATTAAATTATAATTTGTTTTGGTATATTAGGAAATTCATGTTACTTGAATAAAACTCAGCACTTTTCTTTTTCAGCACTTGCCTGAAAGCAATTAGAATACTATACCATGCAGCAAAAACTTCATGTTCATGAAAACACCAATGTTTTTGGTGTTTGTGGTTCCCCCTTGTTTAATAAACTAAGGATTCTTCCTCTACCATGCATGTACATATTTGAAATAGTGGTCTTCACAAAGAAAATTCTCATGGGAAACAAAGACACTTTTACTTTAAATTCTGATGTACATAACTACAACACCTGTCAAAAGGATAACCTACACGTTCCCCACTCTGAAAATACACTTTATCAAAAAAGTACCCTAATAGAGGGCATTACACTTTACAACAAACTAGGCAATGATATCAAAGACATAAACACAATTCATACATTTAAAAGTAAATTGAAAGCTTTCCTGCTTAACATGTTCTACAGTGTAAAGGAATTTTCAAATTACAACATTTCCCTTAAAAAATATAAATAAATAAGAATTTCTTATTCCATTAGACTTTCTGTTTCATGCTGAAGCAAAGAAAAAAGAACTGCATATCACATCCTGTGAAATAGAATAGAAGAAAAAAACTGGACAAAACTTGCCTCCTCACCATTTCAAGTTATAAATATAAAATGTACTACTATTGTTATATTTGATGTAGTTGCAAACATAATTGATATTTATTATTAATGTAATTATTATTAATGCAATTATTACTATTAATGTAATTATTATTAATATAATTATTATAAGTAGTAGCATTAAAATATCATATTGAAATGTTA